CAATCATATTCTTTTTATCTTTAGCATGCCCTCTTGTAATGGTATTGGTGTGTTTAGGGCCAAGTGCTGGGACTTCACATGCAGTCTAATCCCTCTGGTATTAGTCTGCTACTAGGCCATGCACTCTGCTCATTGTTACTTCAGTTTAGCCTTATGATAGCTAGGTTTTTGTGTGCTCTTATTCTATTCTCAGTTACATGCTTACTGGACTGAAATGTAGTCTCTGTATTCGCAATTTTTGCAATTTCACATGCCTGAACATGGAGAGGGCATGTTAATGAAACACAATAAATGCTGTCTGACAGACACAAAGGGTTTGAACCTTTGTTGATCTGCAGAAATAACCAAAAGTGAGCACTAATCAAGCCAAAGGGTTTGAACCTCTGCCACCTGTAGTGTCTTGCATCACAAACACCTCAAAAACTCAAGATAGTGCCCTTCAGACACTGCTCTCTTATTTTCAGACTAGAGCACAATTCAAAACCTCTTATTAAATCTAATTAGAGTCTCTTTCAAGCTTCTGTGCCTTGTGCAGTTCTCAGATCTCTCTTAATGATATCAATAATGGGTCAATTCTCTCACCCAAAGTTACAAACACAAACCCAGAGCTGGAGTGTGAGGCCTTTATGCCCAATAGACTGCAACTGTGGGGAGTTGGAAACTTGTCTACTACTCTTACAATACAGTACTTAAATAGTCTACTACTGTACTTACTAAGAGACATCAAATATAGTAGTTTCAAAGCATAGGACTCTGTTCTGAAGTTTCTTGCATATCATTTGCATGCATGTCACTGTCTGACATGCATATTCTGCTCTGGGTTGGGACTGCCTTTTGTTTCTATGCAACCTGACACCAGCTATCTCTTTCCTTTCTTATCTCCCTAGGGCAATTAATCCATTCACAGGAGTCATTCTAGACTTCAGGGATCATTTCTGGTCATTACTTTCACCAAATCTTCTCATTTTCTTGCCAAGCACCAATGCTCTGTTCTAGAACATGTCCCTTGGCCAATCAATACCTATGTATCACTGATCAATGTGCCACAAAGTTTCATGCAAGGTCCTGATCATATTTTGATTGTGTGCTCTTTATTTTTAGTGGGTCTTTCTGTACTTGTATTAGTGCAATTAGTGTCAAGTGCTGGGACCTCATGCACAGTATGACCCCCTCTGGTATCATTATACTGCTAGGTCATGCCCTCCACCTATCATCACTCAAGCCAGCTGTCATACAAGTCCCATTTCATTGCACTCTATAATGTAAGATGAACAATGTAATCAGAGCTCAGTTGGCACAGTATGGGTGAAACAACTGTATTGGTGGTGTACCATATTTAATGTAAGATGAATAATATAATCAGAACTAAGGAGTGAGTAAGTAAAGTATGCAAGGTATATGAGCTAGGTAACACATACCTCAGCACAGTACAGGTGAAATGATTGAGGTTGTGGAAGTAACTACATGGTATATATACTGTCAGTATGAAGTTTAGGGGTACAGAAAAACAAACGAGTCCATAATGGATGACATACAATATAGTTGGGACTGCATCAGATATTACATGTCTCATTCAACACTCTAGCCATATTCTTTATTGTGTGCATAGTAGACTGTGATACAGTCAATGTATTGTCATAAACCGCAAAACTACATGCCTGGACATGCAGCAGGCATGTCAATGGGTAGGAATGTAACAATACAGCCATAAACCATAGAAAACATATCGCCCATGGTATGGTATGGTTGACCATATACAGGCAGTTTCCCAGATAGCTGACAATGTGTCCAATGCAGTATGCTGCGTACATGCGGAAGGTGTGATATGAAACCGCCAGTTCGACTATCGAGGCGTGTTCAAGTGCCGGAAGCCCAAATCAGTGGCGAGGCTTAGCGAAATTATGCTGAAAGATAGTATCAATGGATATTCCAGATATTCTAAGTAATCTGGCATGAGAAGTATAACAATGGGTTGGGCTTCCAGGACACCTTCCGCCGGAAAAAATCATTGTCCTTCCTCGATGGTGGGGTGCATTCCTTTGGCGGGTGCAAAGAAAGCGGGATCGAACCGGGGCCTGTGCCACTATTCAGTGTCAGCGGATCTTCTTATTCGTAATAAAAGTTAACGTACTAATGCAAGGTGCCTGGGTGTAGATACACGCACCGTCATGTAAAGATAGGAAGATCCTCACTTCTCAATCTTCGTTCTCCCGAATCCACTCCTCCAAAGCGTAGAAGAGCGACTGCGACGATAGTGTACATTGTGGAAGGTATACATGAGAGGCGTCATTCGGTGATGTGGTCGAGGTTCTTCAAGTTGGAACGGTTGGAACGGTCTGAATGAAGGAGGCAAGATCAGTTTCCATTCATCCTTCTGACAGCAGGATCGACGTGAGATCCGTCCAGAGATACATTTCTGTATCGACGGGAAGGATAGATATGGTAGATATGACAGTAGTCGTTTCACGTAAGTCGGACCGTTCGGCTTTCTCCATTGTAGCCTTCGGAGCGAAGTGAGCTCAACGAGCCAATCCGGAGGAGGCGCTAGGACATCCCACTCAGTGCACAGGGTCCTGCAGAAACCATCGCAGACAACTCTAAGGGGGGACATTCCTGGGAGACATCAAGAAATTAGGAAGTGGTAGGAAGGGCGGATTGTGGTATAGGCTGGTGCTGGAAGGACAGATGTGTGAGAGAGGCGGAGAGGTACTTGAGACACGGCTTCCTTAATTTCGTCCTACATATGTTCGTTTGAACAGTGATGGAAAATGACTCGGTAACACCCTACATGAACGGTTGTCAGCGCGCCGATAGTCAGACTGACAAGCTCTGGAGCAGTTCCCAAAGCCGAGAGCGTCTCAAATACGTTCGTCGCGGAAGTTTTCCACGCGGATAACCACAGGCGTAGCTCACACAGCCGATGAATATCGGGTGATAAGAGCCTGAGATCCTCGCGAGAAACATCTGCTTTGCGTACGCAAGAAAAAAAGACAGATAGCAGGGCGTTCAAGGAAATTGAGAGGAATGTGTCGGGAATGATATAGTCGTCGACGGTGGACCATGGGGTAGGGGTAATACCTGTGACTAACCTCCAGTGCATGCACACATCGCGGGGGTAAAGCCACTCCCGTCGGTCGTAGATCTTATTTTCTGAAACAGGAAGGAAAGAAGAGAGATGCTGTCACGGTCTTGTTTCTCAAAGTATAGCAATGAGAAGCTCGGCAGGGCGTGGGGAGTATATTAATCGCACATCGGAGTTGTACAGTTGATGAGATGAGCCTGGTTTCCAAGTTGTCCAGCTTGGTTGCAATGTGCACTCAGAAGTTGATACATACAAAATTGAGTTTTTTGAAGGCAGTAACCACCAGTTCCTCCGGAATACAGAGCAAAAATATCTGTATAGTAGTATAACCGCTATAAAGTCGAAAAATGCTCTTCAGTCAAAAGCCACTGCCAGCTATCGGAGTAGACGTGCGAGTAATTACTCGTCCACCGGGACAGGTCTGCTGCCTGTGGGCACTTTGATTAAGTCGCCAGGGAAGAGTGCTCGAAGTTCTAGAAAATTGGCCTTGCAGACGAGTACGAGCTCATTATGAACAGAGTGAGCGACAAAGAAGAGATCTCAAGTCCAATGGAGCGTGGGAAAATGGGACAATCTATACTCCGCTCAGCCGACCCACGATGGGAAAATCTGCACTGCAATACGCCATCTACATGCTTCATCCATGGTTGCCTGACTTGCCTGGAGAGGGCAACCGTGTTCTCCATTGCACGTTTCCTGCCAGTCTGCACGATGTCTTCCTCCTCGCTCAGTCTGACGGCCCACGGTCACAATTAGCTGTATCTGACAAGACGCCGTTAGTAGTATCAAAAACGAAGAAGTCCAGTACGTGGCATCCGCACTCAGCGTCCAAGGAATGTGCAGAATCAAATTCGTAGTTGCAGCGGGCGCGGCTGGTTTCCTGATCATCGAGGTTCTCCTACTCTCCGGGGAGGTTAATTGGTAGCACCAGGGGCGAAGATCTCCTTGTCTTTAGGCAACGTCGCGCGTATATTAACCCAGTCACCTTGTAGCAGTGCGTGTATCTTTATGACAGCTAGGAAGATCCCACTAACACATAATAGCAGGGCTGCGGGCCCCAATCTATCCCGCTTTCTCTGTAAAAACAAAAGAATGATGTTCGAGTGGGGGAGGACGATTTTTTGGTGATGCGGGTGTGCTGAAGGCCTGTTCCCTCATTATACTCCTCGATTTGCACCTACTCTCGGTCCCTATGCGATCTCTGCAGCCTATCTGACATCGGAATGGCGACAATTTTTATCCCGTCCCTCGCCGGACTCGCCAGAACTGGTTTGAGTCCACGCTCTCAACGAGAACGGAACATACACTGATGATTGCACTGCCGCCTACACTTCATTGGCATCAAATCCTTCGCATATATGCAGATGCAGCCAGATGCAGCAGCTGCCTCGCAAGAACTCGCTGACAGATTCGGTCCACTATTGCCGTCTATCCGGAAATCCGCATCCTCTCTCCGGCTCATCATTTTTGAGCCACTAGCAGGACAGACCCATGCGACTCAATTGATATCGATGAGTAGTGAGGCAATATCATTAGGTCTCAAGAGGTTGCCTGACGTCCGGACGATACTGGGAAACCACTGGCCCGGGCGACGATTTGAAGAGCCCAGACGTTCCCTCCTGTGACTTGATGTACAGGAGGGATAATTAAGGACTTCTGAGTCGTCGGTGTGTGCTTTTTATTGAGTACTAGCATAGGCGTAACAAAGTTGACATCAAGGACACCTAATATCCCCGGCTCATATTGAATAATGCACCCTTTTTTTTTCTCGAACGATGGGATGAACCTGTTAGAGGATATCTGTATGTATACCTTCTCGATCGTCACCCGTTTCCTTTTGATTATCACCTATTCTTACTTACCATACACACACCCCTTGTCGTTACTCGACGGTATTTTGACGCCATCACATTCTGCATCCTGATCCCACAGTTGTCCCAATATGACGACGTAGGCCGATTGAGGGCGATAGGCCCTTCAGAAGCAAAGTTGTGCGTTAAAGCTTGCACGTGCGAAGCCAACCAGATTTAACTCCGACGTAGGACGTCTTTTTGCCACCATCGCCGCAGCTCTGAGCCAAGTGCTATGAATTACTCTTCCAAGTACGTTTGGCATTCAGGCTGCATCTCCACTTTCGCTGACATTGTAACGTCATAGCCCTTGGTCTTCTTCAGGTTCCCCGCCTCCAAGGTACAATACCTTCCCAGATGACGACGCAGGTACTTATCGTGCTCATCCACACGCTTATCCTGGTCTGATATCATTCTTCTAGGTCCAAGCAATGAGCGGATGCCCTTGAACCCGCAAAAAATACAGAGATTTAGAAAGTGCTCGTCCTTGAAGGCCATCATCATCCTTCTCTTGCTAACGGGCACCATCTGGCACTTTATTGACGACTACTCGAACATCCACCGCTCGGACGTCCAGGAGAGGATCCGCCATCGCGAAAAGTTGGAACGTCTGAAGCGGATCGAGAACGAGGACGCGCAGAGAAAGCTGGCGCATGAGCGAGAGGACGAGGAGCGACGTTTGACGTTCGAAGAAGAGGACCAATGGCGGAAGGAAGAGAGGGAAAAGCAGGACAGAGCAATCGAGCGCGAGGAGGCACAGAGAAAGCGGCGTCTCCAACAGGAGGATGACCAGAGACGGCGCGCGCATGAGGAAGAAGACAACAGGAGGAAAGTAGAGAAGGAAAGAGAGGACAGAGCCATCCAGGCCCGAGAGATCCTTGTAGCGCGCAGAGAGCAGGCTGTCCAGGTGAAGGACGATGCGATGCGGGAGGATGAAGAACGCAGGAAGCGCGCAGCGTTGACCTGGCACGACTTGACGGCGGAGAAACGGTGTTTGGGCTACGAGAAGAGGATGTATCACGCGGACCTGATAAACATACCTTATGGGGAGGATGCGCAGAGCTGGTGCATGAGGACGGCCATCGATATCCATGGAGTCACGTATGACCATCCGGAGTTTTGCACGAAAGAGAGACAGGTGTGTTCGATTTACTTTTTTGAGGGCTGTAGTAGGTGCTGATTTGCTTTGCTGTCCAGGATGGTGCCGTTAGGATCGTTGGACATTGGACCGTCACATCAAATGAACCAACGTGCAAGACGTGGTGGGGTAATCACAAAAAGAAAGTAAGCTCTTGTTACAGTCCCGTCAAATCCTGCATGCGTAATTGACGACTCTTCCCTTTCTCTAGGGCTGCCACGGCTCCCACAAAATGGTACGCCATATCCCCTCATTCGCTACCTAGCCTTGAATGGCAATCTTTCATAGCGTGTTGAAGCACAAATGTTCAACCATCAAGAGCCGTGGGACAACTGGGCTGAGATGTGTTTCTCTACCCCTTCTGAATTCGCCTGGGATAGCTTTCCTCACCCTGATACGTGTGAGAACAAGGTCGGTGGTGCTTTAAATCGTGAATGTTAGGCTGATTTGTTCTCTCTAGGGGAAACATGGTATAATTTGTAGTTGGTTCATCGATGTCGATGAGAGTGAGTGCCCGTGAACGATATAAATGTATTTCGTTATATTAGCTGTCTCTTGCCATCAACCGTTGTAACAAATAACTTGTATAACTTGTTTTCAATGCAGAATTGCAATGCAGAATTAGTCGCCATGCAAACTTGAACGCCGTTGCATATCGAACTCGTAGCTCGTGCATCTGATTGTTCAACGTTCAGCAGTCATGTGTTCGTGCCAGTAAAATCTCGTAGCTACGCTTTTCTCTTTCTTCTTTCTTTACTCGATTGACTGTGTACTACGTACCAAGTCAATACCGTATTCGTGACGTGATCTCTCGTGTTTCCACCCCGCTAGGAATTATCCTAACAAAGGACATATCATCTTCGCCACCTGAACGGCTTTCCTCCGTTACGGAAAGAGGTACAGTGATTTTCTGAAAGGAAAGTTCAAGCCAATGGAACGTCAACTATGGATCATTGCACGTACCGTCTCCACTTCGGTCACAAACAGACTGGGTATAGTGATATCCTCCAAGGAAGTTTCGGCAAGTCGGTCCCGTGGAGGAAGAGACTGTACGTACCGTCTGTCCTGAATCGGCTGACCCGCTCACGGCGACAGGCAGAGCAGAGTTGTTTACTTCGTGGTCAACAGAGCGCTCTTTCGCGACAGACCACATCGAGCTCTTGCGCGAATTGAGCCTGGTAAAAGAAAGAGTTCGCAAAGTGGAAAGAGAAAAAAAAAGTAGCCCGAGGGCTGGACTCGCATGGCTAGTAGAGAGTTTATGTAGACTGTTAGCAAGACCTTAGTTTCAGAAGTAGGCGAAGAAGATGTGGAGTACTGACGCCTTGGTAAAATGAAGTTGATGGCTACGAAAACGAGAGTGTTCGGCCAGGCTACGTACTGTGAATTGGGATCAGATTCGCGAAGAATCGAACAGGTCATGAACTGGATTAATCACTGCAATGAGAGTGAAAAGGGAGCATAAACTAAGTCCGCTGATGATTAGTTTGCAAAACGTATTGCGTGCTCGAGACCCTCACCTCGTCGCTACCCCAGATATCACTACGAGCCGCATCAGTCTCAGAATCAGTTTGGCAGTACTATAAGCAATCCCCCTCAGACCATTTCGCAAATAGATAGATATACCTATGAAACACGCACCTGGAGAAGCTGGTCATCGATCTGCCCTTTTGCAGGTAAAAGCACATCGCACCAGCGATGATGAAATCTGCAGCAGAGATGGTGGAGAAATTCATATAGATGGATACCTACCACCAGGGATGAGATTCTTGCGCCTAGAGCCAGCGAACTCGGCCTACCCTAATAGTCGCAATATCCAGAAAGCTTTTCAGTTTGTATCTAACGATGCCGTCAATGAAGGGAGGAGCGGTGGGTGGTGGTTCTCAGAAAGCTTACGTATCGTACATGATCCCTGAACGAGTCAATGCTCCAACGTAACTGCAGGAGAAACGGGGGCTTACAGATTCCTGCGCCTGCAATAAATTTAAGTCTTGATCTTCTTTCTAGACAAGACAAATCTCACCAAATGTAGCTGCGACAGCAACGAACTGATTGTCAAATATCAATTTCAGATTTCCATAGGAGAAGGAGAGGAAGAAACACTACAATGAAGTGTGGCAAGACCACATGAAAATGACGGCCGACTGTAGGATGGTGATATTAGTCAAGATTCATTGGGCGAACTTTAATGAACGAAGACGAACGTTTCCATATTCTAACGGCATATAATCTGTTATCGGCGATGGCTGAGTATTTACGAACATCAGAGTCGGATGAGGCGTACGCTTGGACACCAGGGATAATCATCATCTGTAGAGACATTCAAACACGATTTTTGAAAGGACAAGTCAAGATGCACATTGAGTAAGAGCTGCAGCTAAAGGGGGGAGCCTTAGATTCGTACAGGTAAAAGAAGCGAAGAAAAAAAAGCTACTGGAAAGCTCCTGCGAGCAATGTCAGAATTTGGTGGACCCCGAGGCTTTGGTTGACGTACCAAACAATTCTGCCGAATATGGTGAGATAGTTTCCGAATGATTCGATAAGGTAGAAATAGAGTGCGTGGGTGCTCAAGGCAACATGAAGCGTGTCGAATATCCTGTAGATTGTGCGTGTCGTGATACGGTTTGGTAGCTTGCTGGAAACATACCATAGTATGGCGACCTATACATGTTTCAAGATGTATGAGAACAGTTCATTGCAAGACTTTGGGTATCCGTACAGTATATCGAAAGATGCACGGATCGTTAGGATTGATTTTGTAATAGATGGCGATCTGCAGAATGGTTATTCCATAGAAGCTAGAGCGCGGAATGGACATCAAGAGAGATTTCTCAAAGAAAGCACACGTACATTGCAGCAATAGTAGTACCGATATACACCGCTCCTAGCGTCGCTCCAAAGTCCAGGCGAAGGGGAGTACTAAGTACTGGGGTGAGCGATGACATTTGGGTTAGGGAGTCTGTGGACATTGGGAACCGTACGGTGCTTATATAGCGAGGCAGGGCATAGAACGGTGGAAATCATCTTCTCCGACGCCATTGATTCCTATTCATAGAAAAAAAGTTCCGGATTCGTGATCGACTGACTACACACGAAATGTCCAAGCAGGATTTAGCCCACAGCACATATATAGCCACGGCCTTTTCAAACATTTTGACGTGCTAGTGTTCAGAGAATAGCAGATCGCTTATTCTCCAATGCATGGCATACGGTATTTGCAAATCATCTTCGGAGAAGTCATTTACTGATTCTGTCAGATTGAGAAAAGTTCCATTGTTGAATTATTCAAACATGATTCATGACGTATAAATCCGATACCTGTCTTGTCAATTCTGAGTTCAATGGCTGAGGACATTGGTATGGCAACTGGGATCATGTGGATATTTCCATTGTCCTGTTGACAAGGATCGACTGTTGCTTACTGATACGGATGGCTTAAGTCCCTTCAATTGTATAGATTTGGATAATCGGAAGGCCTGAAAGTTCTGCAGAGAACACTGCAGGCAAAAAGATGAAAAGCATGAAATGAGTGGACACACCTCGTTCTATAGGCCAACCGGGGGTTCCTTACTTTGGTAGTGGCATTGATCATCGGCACGAGGTCCCATTAAGGAGCAGGCGGACCCACAGTCTGGTGTTCGAACGAAAATCATGGAGCGAAGTCGGCGAATAAGTTACGGTCACCCGGACCACCTTTGGGCCACAGGAAAAGCCGACACGTCCTTACGAACGACCACCCTGAACATTGTCTATCCTTTGCCTTCTCCCTGAGGGACCTAGTCTATTGCCGGTGGTGTTTCTATTTCGTCGATTTTGCTGCGTCTGACTGATACTGCATCAGCGTGGAGTTTCGATGTGTATGCCTCGGCCCTCTTCGGGACTAGTATTATAAAGCAGAACTGGTGCGCCAGCGACTTCGGATACGAAAGAGCAGCGCAGAGTGGATTTTAAATTTGAGGGAAGTAATAGGCTATATACGCGTCACCGTGGGATTATGAAAGGATTTGGTGTCAACGATGATTTTAGAGTGCAAGAGTACCGATAATGACAGTAGAGTCTCGACGGGACAGCTGTCAAGTAGAGCTACCCGGCACTATTGTCACTGAAGACGTAGGTATTCACAAGCTACCCTGCTGCTCTGAAGTCCTGTTCCTCGGCCTCGCAGAACAAGTCACTATATGCCGACAAGAAGCTATCCTCCTTACCCTTCATCAACCGAAGCATATATCCAGCCTCGGCCTTTTCGTCACCACCTATGCTCTCATACTAATGCCGTGTCATCTGCTGGCTCTCAGTAAAGTAAACAAGGTCGGTGCTCTCCCCTCTTCAGACCAAAGGGAAACTTGCCGAATGTGGCTACGACAGCAAAGAACTGCGGGTCAAATATCAGTGACGAATCATGTTTCATGAGGAATAAAGGCAACCTACGATGAACCAGGGCAAGACTACGTGAAAATGATGGCCGACCACGAAAGCGTGATGGATTATAGGGAGATGTGAGAGAACGAAGGCGAACGTTTCCATATTCTCGCAGCATATAATCTGTGGTTCCGGGAGCTGAGTCTTTCTCGACGCACGCATGGACTCCGAAAGCAATTAACATCTAATAACAGTCAAAAACGGCTCACCAAATGAACAATAGATCAAGATACGCACGTTGAACACGAGCTGCAACCAGCTGGGCGAGAAGGCTCACGTATCGAATGTCAACGAAGTGAGGAAAGATTCTTACCTGAAAAGCTCCTTTAGCTGACATCAGAACTCGATGGACAGTTGGAATCACCTTCGAAGATAGCCTGCCATTGATTCCTATTCATTAGAGAAAAGCCCCGGTTCCTTAGATAGGCGTCCTCGGTTTTGCTGCTTCCCGCCACCGGTCTTCATACTGAATAACTTGTGGACAATTCAGAACCTGTATCGACATCTGTTGTACAAAGCAGTACCGCTTATGCTACATCAATCCAATCATTACAACGGGTTGGTAGGGCCAAAAGGAGACAGCATGATGGAACCACATCAGGGCGAAAATGTCATAGGACCCAAACTGCTATTAGAACGGGTTCCATCTGTTACGGGGAGAGGTATACTGATATTCTGGAAGGAAGGTCAGCCAATAGCATAGAACTGGTGGAACATTGTACGTACTGTCTCTGCTCCGGTCACGGAGAGACCGGGTATAGTGATATTCTCAAGGGAAGGTTCAGGATGTAAGTCCATAGCGCTGAAAGGATTGTACGCACCGCCTGTCCCGAATCAGCCACCCCATCATTCGGAGCAAATCTGATCATCTTTTGGTCAATAGGATGGCCTCTCCCAACCGACCACGTTGAGCTTTTGCGCGAGTTGAGCCTAGGAGGAAGGGTTATATCTAAAAGAGGATGGCGGCCGTAGGACTCACATTGCGAGTAGAGAATTTATATAGACTGTTAATGAGGAGTTAGTCGTAGGTACGAAAAATAGTCAAAAGACTGACGCTTCGGTAAAATAAAGGTGCCGAGGGCCATGAAAATGAGAGTCTCAGGCCAGACAATATACTGGTTGTTTGGGGAATATGATGGGAGAGCCATAATGTAATCGACAGAAACACTCACTGCAACGAGAGTAAGGAGGGAGAACGTGCTAATAACGCTCGTAATCAGTCTCCATAACATTACAACCACGAAATCATACCTTGTCAAAGCCCCAGATATCACCACGACTCGCATCAATCCCACGATTGTTTTGGTCGTGCTATCCCTCCGACTTTAGCAAGCACAGAGCTTACGATCAGAGGCCGCGCACCTGGACAAACTGGTCATTGACCTCCCCTTGTGCAGGTAGAAGCACATTGCACCAGTTATGGCGAAATCAGCTCCCACCATCGTGGAGAAGACAGAGTATATAGATGTCTTCTAAGGATCAGATCCTCTGTTCGATTTGGCAAGAAACCAGGACGTACCCTAATAGTCGAAATGTCCAAAATGCTTGAGATCCTGTATCTGATAATAATATCAATGAAGTGAACGGTGATGGCTCCAGGATGCCTACGTGTCGTAAATCACGTCTGGGAAACGTGATCGAGTCAGTGCTTCTCCGTGATCGCAAGTGATACATACAGAGTCCTGTGCCTAGAAGAAAATCAAACCATCACTACGAAACTCTCCTTCAGGCCAAGGGAAAACTTGCCGAATGTGGCTGCGACAGCAAAGAACTGCGGGTTAAATACCAGTGACGAATCATGTTTCATGAGGAATAAAGGCAGCCTACGATGAACCAGGGCAAGACTACGTGAAAATGACGGCCGACTATGAAAGCGTGATGGATTATCAGGGGAGATGTCAGAGAACGAAGGCGAACGTTTCCATATCCTGATGGCGTATAGTCTGTGGTTCAGGGAGCTGAGTCATTCCGATCATCAAGGTGCAGGTTAAAGAAGACATACGCTTGAACACCGGTGGCAATTATCATCTAGAAACAGTCAAACACGGTTTGTCGAATGAATAATCAATCAAGATGCGCACATTGAATACAAGCTGCAGCTAGCAGGGAGAGAAGAATCATATGGTATCACATATCAACGAAGCGAGGAAAGATTGTTACCGGAAAACTCCTGCAAGCAATGTCAGAACTTGACGGACACCGTGGCTCGGAAATATACGTACCAGATGATCCTTAACAGAAAGACGTAATTCCCAAATGAATCGATCAGATAATAATAGAGAGCGTGGGTGCTAAAGGCCACATGGAGCGTATCGAGTACCCTGCAGATAGTTGCATTTGAAGGTGCAGTTTGGTGGCTTCCCGTAACGTACCATAGTAAAGCGACCTATATACGTTTCAAAACGTATGAGAAAAGTTCAATGCGAGAACTTGGATCCCGTACAGTATATCGAAAGATCCATGGATCATTAGGGTTTAGTTTGTAATAGACGGCTGTCTGCAGAAGAGTAATTCCATAGAAGCTGAAACATGCAGTGAGCATAGAAGTGAATTCTGAAGGAAAGCATACATACACTGCGGCTATGGTAGCACCAATATAAATCGCCCCAAGCGTTCCTCCAACGCTAAAGCCTGTATCAGCTATCAGTATAGAAGTAGTAAGCGAAGACATAAGGGGAGTTGATGTCGAGAGAATAGCATGTCACTTATATACCAAAGCGTGGCATACGACACCTCGAATTACCTTCGAAGACAGCCTGCCGTTGATTCCTATTCATTGAGAAAGGTTCCGCGTGCCTAATTCATTACGCAATTCAAGCGCGCGAGACATGCCGACGTCTGAATTGGTCTCGTAGCAAGTTAATCTTTATCACCATAGGCATTTGGAACTTGAGGGGCAAAGGTAAGAAAACAACTTGAATTACATGAGCATAGGCTGTTATTCTTCGTTGATAATGATTAGTGTTCCTTTCTGATACCGCGAGGAACTCGGAGTTACATCGGGGGTTGTGCGAGGGGCACATTGTCGTCAATTAATTGTGTCTCCGAGTCGGGTCAATAGTGATAATGAAATCGCGGCGAGCGACTGTGTCGGCAGCGGAACTTCAGGGACACGATAATAGTATTGAGTGGCCCGTCTAGGTGCATTAGTGTTGACCTCGTCAGGGTGTTTAGGGCTGAACATGCTAGGATTTTAATTTTTGACAACGGAGGGATGAACACATACTGAAAGATGGTGCTATTTTTGTAATACTCGACACTGATGATCCTTTGGAAGATTGAACTTCAAAAACAATTCGAACAGCTGGAAAAAGATGAGTATAAGCGCTGAACATAACTTTGAAGATCGACAACACACTGAAGGACCCTGAGACCGGGGTATCAAATAGAGATCGCCGAAGTTTGTCGTTTTGCCCTGCTTTCCGCATACTCAGGTCTGTTTATTTGTTCTCTGGTCACCACTCTTGACAACATGAGTGCCGTGAACGATGAACTGGTGGTATCCACTGACGGCTATGTCGAGAGCGAGCCGGCTCTTCTCGGACGGGCCCACAGATACGGGCACGCCGCGGCACTGCCACGCAGCAGAGAGAATCTGAGATATCAATGGGAGATAGCGGTAAGAGGAGAAAAGGAGAGCGGGCTCATTTGTATTATATAGGCGAAGAGGCACCCGTAATGCGTCAAAGCACGCGAGATTTCCCAGACTGCGAACAGACTCTGAGGGCGGGCGAGAGTGCTAAGCCACAGGCAGTGGATCAACATGGATCAACATAAACGTCATGCACGTGAGGACGGGCTAGGCGGGCCGATGGAATTTTTGACACCAAAATACTTAGAGCTATCCTTTCTCCTAAAATCAGTACGCGTATCTCTGGACATTCTAGCCTAATCTGCCGTGGAATTTTACAGCTTTTAATGATAAGCTCGCCTTGTTCTGGGAACCCATGGGAAATGATTATTGATATGTCGCGTAACTGAAATCATGTTGATGCGCGTCTTCGTAGTGTCGCTGACTATTATGTAAGCAGGGCTACAATGTCCCAAGACTTCTTTGGTAAAAATACCCCCTTTAATACCCATTTTGCTCTTTTCCTCGACTTTTCGAAAAAAAAACCCACATACACCGTCTACTGCGTTGTATTCCAGGCTCTTTCGCGGTACTTCATCCTTCTCTCCGGAACTTTGAGCCAATTTTAACAGTCATGCACAGGCTGGCTCCTTGTTTGCCTAGCCTCAGGGAGCATTCTCCAGTCATTTTAACAGCAACTATTCCAGTATCAGCGTCATGGACGTCCAATCAAAATTGACATCGTTAGGATCGAGCACGAGGGAACAAAGGACATTCGGGACGAGAAAAGGTGCTCGGCGTTTGAGACGCACAAATGGAAGAATGAGCGTTAGAGTAATCAAGCCCCACGAAGCGGGAGCATCGGCAGGAGGAGGACAAGAAGAGGACACATCATCTCTTCGTAACAGTACATCAGCATTGGATGGTGAGGATTTCTTAGGCTTACATTTCCAGGTGCTAGCTCACCGTCAGCTATATAGGCCCTGGTCTGCCCAACCGCCAGCGTTAACGGCATCTTAGAAGTCGTTCGACGCCCTCAGTCGTTCGATGTTGTCAAACGAGGTTCTTGACTTTAAAAACTGTGTGTCGACATGATTGCTAATGCGAGGCTTCCATTGAAAGTGCTCACTGACCAGAGTCTTCGTTGAGCCTAGGTTCGGCCTGGATCAGATATCACGACGTCGGCAAAGGTGGAGCTTTTTTCCCCCTTGTCCCGAAAAGGTGATCGTTGATATTTTGAAGCTTTCAGGTCCTTAGCTTTCTGAGTTTTGGGCTCAGGGTAGGCGAGAGTCAGGCGGGGGATGTTCTCGCAAAGTCGGCTGGCATTCGTCAGAATTCAAGATCTGAGCTCGAGTTCTGAGCGGGTCTGAGGTTAGACCTTGAGCTTGAACTCAGTACTCAATATCTTAGTCACCTTGGCTCGATTTCTCTTCTTTAGCACTGATACTGAGCTCAAGATCTCGAGTGCAGTAGGCTGTGGGTTGAGACCACCGCAAGCCTATGTAATTAAAGTACGTAGTAAATATACGCGTGCTCCTGGTCGTCGTCTCAAGCTCAAGCTTAAACGATCTCTCAGGTGAGACGTACACCGAGTGTATAAATCCTTGAAGAATTCTGATGAGTCTACTATCAGAAATCGCACTCAAACATTAGAAAGAGGAATAAAATAACAGAGGGAGATTCGAAGCTTGAGTCAAATTTTCCGCAAATTTCGATTCCCTCACCAATGACACCGGACACCGGACTTACCTATGGCCGAGTTGACATATTTTCAAGACAGGACCTTCGTACTTTTTTCATGACAGAACTTTGTCTTCAAGCTCCCCGAATTTTTTCTTAGTACTCTAGTCTAGCGATGATAGCGATCTCAAGATCTCTACTTCCTCCGCAACGCCATCGCAAACATTCAACCCTCCCTCATGGACATGTCCGGCCCTCGGGTTCACGCAGTCTGTGAGACCCGACGCTTTCCTCTTAGCCAAGCTGCTCACCCTGTTCGTCGTTCTCGACAGCTTTTTGTGTCTAACCGTTGACCAAACCTTTCCTGCGCGAGCCAGCTCCATGGTTCGTCCCCGAAACCCTAGCCAGAGACAAGGAGTTGTTCAATTAACACGTCTGGGAATACAGGTATCTGTAGATTGGTCTATTCTGGCTGACAAGACATTGTGGCTTGGCGTGCGAACCGAATGGGTGTACGACTCCTCGGAAGCGATATGGAATTCACACGCGGACTTCGAACAGATATTCAGTTTCTGGCTTAGCGTGTCCCTATGAACGCGTCTTGGATCAAAATCGGTCATAGGCTGGCTCGTTTATCGCCCACAACACACTCTTGGCAGTCGAACTCAGGAACCCGGAACCGGACAGCTACTGCCTTCACAAAGCCGTCTTTGTCGGTATACTTGTGCTACTTTCCCTCCTGTCGAGACGCCTCGGTGAGGCCAATTTCTCTTGCAGACACCGAAGTACATTCCCTTCTATCCGTTGTACGATACCTCTGGTTTGGCTCAATACCCGCTGCGCGAGTGCTTCCCACACAGACGTCGTACTTCGACATGGGGAAAGATGATACATGAAAACATCTCACGACGACGCCTCTACACCCCGTATTGTGACTATCTTGGTCAGCATTATCATGCGGTTTCTCGATAGTCTGCCAAAATTATCACTCATGTGTGAGCGACGTGTTATAGGCGACGTTTTATTGGACAAGGCTGTCTCGGTTTTCTCTTCGCATCCTGTTTCTAGGATGACAGAGGTGGGTGTTAAACTATTTGCTACAGGCAGCGTGTTATTGGCCCAGCCCATCCGGGTTTCTTTTCACATCCTGCAGAGGTAGGTAAAAAATTAGACGACGTGTTATTGGACAAGCTCGTCTCTTCACGTTCTGTTTCTAGAATGACAAAGGCGGGTGTTGAACTATGTGTCATAGGCGACGTCCTATTGGCCAAGCCAGTCTCTTCCGAAGCCGATTCTGGAGTGACAGAGGCGGGTGTTGAGCGATGGTGACATAGGCGATGTGTTATTGTTGGATAATCCCCTCTCGATTTTATTGTCATATTCTGTTTCCGGAATGAGAGAGGCGTATAAAAGGTGGACGGGTTGAGTCTTCACTGCAGTAGTCGACACTACATGGCTTTTGCACCTCTCCTCGCTGCTCTCGCCTTACTTGCCGTTGTACGCCAGTCCGACGGTATTGCTTAACCTTCTGCCATGTGTAACGACGCTCATACCCTTTAACTAGCTGCCCTCACCAAGCGAGTGGCATGCGCCGATGGTGTCCACACCGTCACCAATGAGGCCTGCTGTGCCCTATTCCCCGTCATAGCCGACATCCAAGAGAATCTCTTCGATGGAGGAGAATGCGGAGAAGAGGTCGGCATTTTTCTTAGTCTTCAACGAGTTGTTCGCTGATTATGGGCGGAATTGTATCTAGGTACACGAGTCGCTTCGTTTGACCTTTCACGATGCCATCGGGTTTTCCTTTACTAAAGGGTAAGCCTTATATCCTCGTATAAATGAAAGCTGACGATCTTGACAGCGGGGGTGGTGCTGATGGATCTATCGTCACTTTCTCCGCCATTGAAACGGAATTCCACGCAAACATTGGTATTGGTATGACTATAATGATAGTTCTTTGAGACCATCGTTCACGGATTTTTCATCTAGACGGAATAGTAGAAGTACAGAGGCCTTTTATCACTGCCCACAACATGACTGCAGGAGACTTGTACGAACATTTAATACATTTATGACTCTGATATTCTTAGAATTCCCCCAGTATCCAGTTGGCTGGCGCAGTTGGGGTGTCCAATTGTCCAGGAGCTCCCCAATTGAACTTCTTGTTGGGACGTCCCCCAGCCACTGCACCCTCGCCAGATCTACTCGTCCCAGAACCTTTCGATACGGTAGATTCAATAATTGCTAGATTTGCCGACGCAGGGTTTTCGTCTTCTGAAATTATAGCTCTCCTATCTTCGTGCGGCATTGTTTCCTTCTATCCTTGCAGAGGCCCCATTTGATATCTCGCTCCAGGCACTCTGTCGCTGCTGCCGATCACGTAGACCCTACGGTAGTGTTAATTCATCTATCTATTGTCTTCTTTCGCTCAAGGGCTTTTGTAGATTCCGGGGTGTGTATCTTGCTGGGGTCCTTGGCTTTGTCTTTACTTATTTTATATAGCACTCCCTTCGACTCGACTCCGGGACTCTTCGACACTCAATTCTTCGTAGAAGTCCAATTGCGAGGCACTTCCTTCCCCGGGTACGTATCCATTGCTTTCCCCTGGCGGGCTAGTCGCTGACAGACATTCGGACAGAACCGGTGGTAATCAGGGTGAAGTTGAGTCGCCACTGGCCGGAGAAATACGACTTCAATCCGACGAGACGGTAAGTCGCGGCCGCATGTTACCTGTCATCGATGGCTCATTACGATTACTAGCTGGCTCGGGGTGTGTCCACATTTTGACCGATGCTTGAACCCAACTTCAACTTTTCCATAGATTCGCGAACGAACTGCGACTGGCAGTCTTTCGCCAGTACGTGATGTTGCATTTCTCAGCAGGGGTCAATCTCAACAGCGCTATTCTCACAGATAACCAGGCCAAGATGCAGGCCGACTTCAAGGCCGCTATGTTGAAACTTTCTGTTACCGGACAAGACGTATCTCAGATGGTAGATTGCACTGAGGTCATCCCAATCCCTTTGGCAGCTGTTGCGCAGAACGCCCACTTGCCTGCCGGATTGGACATGAATGACATCGAACAAGCGGTAAGGCCGTTTTGACATCTTTTCTGGGACGGATTCTCATTTGCCTGTTAGTGTGCCACTGCGGCGTTCCCTACTCTCACGGCTGATCCTGGTCCTGTCACCAGTGTCGCTCCAGTGTAAGAGATACCATATCGTATATCTTTGTTTACTGATTTCTTTCTTTTATACAGTCCACCATCCTAAGTCATTTCCACAGACAAACAGGAAACTTTCCCATTTCTTTTAACTTGATATGCAACAATCGTGAATGTAACTGATCCGGAAACTCTGTAAATAACGCGTTTCAATATTGTATTTTTTGGTCCGCCCGTGCCGATGTTCTTCACAAATTATCCGTATGAACTCCCTGGTGTGCACCTCAAAACGTTCGGCTACTCTCTTTCACATGAACATTCTCCTCTGGGTTTCAAGCGGCTCATTAACGCCCTAGGCAGCCCGGGTTGGCAGACTCCGATCCGATGAACTTCGACAGTACAGTTGGGCCGCCGACTCCGGCATTTTCACGCCCTAGGGCAAAGGATTTTTTATCACAGCGCGTTGAAGTGCACATATGGACGGACGTTTGGACTCAGACTTGCATATTTCTTTCAAAATCGTCTGGTAACCTGGCGGAAAAAAAAGTCGGAGATGGCCTACAGGCGACCACCGCACGCAATACTTGTATTTGACATTGGTGTCGATTCTTCCTCTCCATAGGAAATACAGTATCATTTGAAGCGGGTTCGGCGCCAGTCTACAGAATCTTCTGTATTAACGGCTCCGGATCGTTATGGCGCAGGTGGTACGTTAGGTAGTGCCAGCAATACCGCTCCCGCCGCTATAGCTCGTACTGAATGTAAGGAACTAGTCATTGACACTGAATGGTAGGCATATAATCAAAGCAAGTGGTGTGTATATCCTTAAGCAAATGTTATATCGCCCGTGCTACTCAACTGGCTTCCTCCTGCCGCATGGAAAGGTAGAGAGACACTCTAAAAGGAAACTTCAGGTCAGCCAGCAGAATGGTCAATGACGGAATTGTGTACGGTACGTACCGTCTCTGCACCCGTCCCGGAGCCACCAGGTATAGTGACATTCTTGTAAGGACTGTCAGGCCTACATCCAGTTGTGAAAATATTGTACACACCGTCTGTCCTGAATCAGCCGCCCCATTTTCAGCGTCATGATGAGCAAATCTCATCTTCTGGTCAGCAGCAGCACGGTCTTTCCCGACTGACCACATGGAACTCTTGCGCGAGTTGAGCCTGAAAAATATCTACTGTGTATTGAATGTAAAAGGATAGGAGGGCTCGACTCACATCGCGAGCAGGGAATTTATATAGACTATCGGTCTCTTAGCGAGGAATCACGCGGAAAAATATTCAAATACTGACGCTTTGGTAGAATGAAGGTGCCGATTGCGAAGAAAATCAGAGTATCAGGCCATGCGATGTACTGATAGGTTGGGATATAAGGCGGGGAGAGTCACAGTGATTCACGGGAACACTCGCCGACACAAGAGTAAGAAGAGAACATGCGCTACGTATGTCCGTGATCAGCCTAGAAGGCAATGGGTGTATAACAACTATACCTTGTCATCAGCCCAGATATCACAACGATCCGCATTAGTTTCACAATTGTTTTGATAGTGCTATGTAAGCAGTCCTCCAAGATGAGAAAATACAGAGACCTTAGGAAGAGAGAGACGAACCTGGGAAAAGTAGTCATAGACCTGCCTTTGTGAAGGTAGAAGCACATCACGCCGGCAATAGTGAAATCGGCTGCTGTCATTGTGGAGAAAACTGTATATATGCACGTCTATGACCAAGCATCAGAATACTTCATGCATCTTAATGGAGAGCTTACGGCCTACCTTAACTTTCGAAATGTCCACAAAGCTCGAGATGGTGTATCTGACAATAACATAAATGAAGTAAATGGAGATGACCTCCCGGGTTGCTCACGTGTCGTAGATCACATCTGATAGGTGGCATGCTCGCGTCAGTACTAGGATGTGATCATAGAAGTAGGGCCTACAGAGTCCCGTGCCTGCGAAAAGAAATTAAATCACCCTGCTCTGTTTCGACGAGAAGGAGAATCTCACCAAATGTTGCCGCGACAGGAATGACCTGAAGATCATACACCGATTTTGAGTGTCTTGACCTATATACTATAAACAGTGAAACACCTACAATAAGCCGTGGTAAGACCGTATGAAATTTAAGGCCAACTATGAGAGTATAACATATCAGAAGATGGGCCCAAAACCTATGGAGATTTCAGGGAACAAAGACAAACGTTTCCATATTCTGACACCGTATAATCTGCGATAGCAGTAGCTGAGTACTTCCAATCAATCAATGACCTGGTCGAAGGAGACGCACGCCTGGACACCAGCGTTGATCAATATCTATTGACGGATAAGTGGCGCTTGTTAAAGGATATGACGATACGTACATTAATCAAAAGCTGCAGCTAACGGGAGCGGAGAATCATAGCATCACAGATCAATGAAGTGTGGGGAAAGACCGTTACCGGAAAGCTCCTGCAAGCAAAAATCAGGCTCGACGGAACCGATGGCTCTGACATACATACCAGATGATCTTGGACAGCAGTGCGATATAATTTCCAAATGATTGGATAAGATAAAAATACAGAGCATGGGTGCTCAACGCAACGTGGAGCGTATCGAGGATCCTGCAGATCACAGTCGATCAAGACACAGCTTCATGCCTCCAACGTGGTGGAAACATACCATAGTAAGGCGATCTGGAGAGGGTTTTCATAATGTATGAGAGAGGTCCAACGCGAGGGCTTAATATTTCGTACCCCATATCGAAAGATCCATGGGTCATCAGGATTTAGTTTGTAATAGATGACGGTCTGCAGAATGGTTAATCCATAACAGCTGGGGTACAGTGTGAGCATAACAGAGATTACGAAGAACAATGCACGCACACTGAAGCTATAGTGGCCCCGATGAAAAGCGCTCCTAGGGTCTTTGCCAGCTCTGAGGGAATATCAGCTATGGGTACTGGTAAGGGAAGCGACGACATCTTGAGCGCCTGTGTTGAAGGAACAGCACGCCAGTTATATCCTAACGCATGACACATAGAATTTTAGAATCATCTTCGAAGAAGGTATGCCATTGGTTCCCGCGATTCTGTCAGATAATTAAAAGCTTCCGAATCGATAATTCGAACACACGAGCGGCTATTCCTTGATCTAGAGGCAGTTTTAGCACTGGTTCAGCACTGAGCACCTAATGACCGTCAGAATCAGTTGATGGAACATTTATTTATACATAGGATGGGAGACAAAGGATCTGAACGGTGCTTTGCTTCAGTCAAGCTTTCTGATGAACTCAGTTCGGAAGATGCCGAAGTACTTCTCACTCGATTCGTACCTCTGGCTGCGAATTTTCGAAAATGTGGAACTCTACTAAACTGGGAGAGATTGTATCGCTCTCAAGGTTTGCCCCCCCCACTTTGAGTCACGTCGGCGCTAGAAGCTTGATTTAGTCCAACGAGCCCGGATCATTTACTTAGAAACCCCGAGGACCACACGGTCTCAGGACTTCTTCGAGATTCCCTCAGACTGAGAAATAGATGCTGTTTCCGGGCGGTACTGCATCCTTCGTCTACGACAACAACGGGTAGTGACAATCTGCGTTTCAAAACGAAGGCCGGTCGTGTGAAACATGGGAGCGAGGGCTGAACGAGATCAAAAGCATTGTCGTTTTCTGTAGACGCAGAGAACTGACTGGAGCCGAGGAAGAATAAGGCCCCAGGGCATATCACAGGCCTGGGCTGTCCTGCAGAATGATGAGCTTGCGATTACAATGTGCTTGGATACGAAAGGCCTGCCGTCGGTCGCGCTAGCCTGTGTCAACTCTGCCTGGACACTCGGGATGTCCTACTCCATTGCCAGAGAGTGGAGGACGACAAGAATGAAGGTGATTATTTATCGCCTTCGGATCCTCATTAACTGCGACCTCCAGCGTCAAGCCAACCGGGGCTTCGGCCTCAGAAGACAATTGAGTACAAGAAATTCTGGGTGAGTAATTGCTGTGCCTGGGCTCGTAAGAATACATGGTCCTCGTATCGCTATAGCGCTAGTGATCCAGCAGATAACAGAGAAAAGGTAGCCATTGGGACCATAGGGCATAGCAGTACGACATGAGTGCATTGTCATGCAAATGTCATATCAGCCAGACTGCGATTTCCTTCTGGAATGGAGACAGATATAGCGATCAGAAAAAGGTCAGCTCACTGAATATCGATCGCAGTACATTGTACGCACCGTCACTCCTGAATCAATCACTCCATTGCTTGAATCGTGAGGCGCCAATCTGAGAATCTCATGCCTCAGGCAACAGCGAGTTAAACACTGACGCTTTGACAAAATAAAGTCGATTGCTATGAAGACGAGAGCGTTAGGCTAGGCAATATACTGTAAAGAAACCTAGTATGAGATTGGAGACAAATACAGGATGGAAACTGAGGAATCAGTCACCGCAACGAGAGTAAAAAGCGAACATGCGCTAGGAACACTTATGATTAACTCGCAAGGCATCGCATAGGAGAGAGATCTATATATCGTTGTCAGGCCAGATATCACTGCAAGCCGCGTTAACCCTACAATTATCTTAGTCGCACTATAAACCTTACCTAGAGAAGTTGATCATTGATCTACCCTTGTGCAGGTAGAAGAAGCACATTGCACTGGCGATAATAAAATCGGCTCCTATGACCGTGGAGAAAACTAGGGATTAGACCCCCTCCGACGTCCGACGTACGAGCCGAAGACCTCCTCTGATGGTCGAAAGCTTGACAGGGTGTACCTGGAAATGAATTCAATGAAAAATCGGTCATGCCTTCCGGAGGGCTTACGTATCATAAATCGCATCTAACAAGCGGAGTCGAGTTAGTACGGCGCCGGAATTATAGGAGTGTCACTTACAGAATCCTGTGCCTGCGGGGAATTTAAGTTATACCTTTCTTCTTTCATCAGGACAAGGAGTATCTCACCAAACGTTGCAGCAACCGCAAGGAACTGCGGGGCCGAATACCAGTGTCAACTTGTGTTCGCATAGGTAAAGTGAACACCTACGATAAAACGTGGCAGGACTGTATGAAAATGACTGCCGACTGCGAGACGATCATAGTTAGGATTGTATAGAGGATCCTTCAAGGAACGAAGATGAACACTTTACTATTCTGACAACGTACAAGCTGTGGCATCGATTCCGATTATCACGGCGCAGATCGAAGGGGACGCACGCTTGCACGCCACACACAGTCAGCATCTGGGCTCCTGTCAGACACGGATTACTGAAGGATATATAAAGACGCACATTGACCAAAAGCTGCAGCTAATATGGAAAAGGGGGCCCGATCTCACAGATCAACGAGACGAGGAAAAACTGTTACTGGAAAACTCCTGGAAGTGGCTCGAAATTCAGAACTCGACAGAAAAAAGGCACCGCTTGACGTATCAAATAACCATGAACAAGGCGAGATCTTTTCCGAACAATTCGATAAGGTAGAAATAGAGTGCGTGGAGGCTCAGCGCAACATGGAGTGTATCGAGCATCCTGCAGATCGGATTACGTCAAGATACAACTTCGATATATGTCCCCTTCGTGCGGGCAACGCACTACGGAAAGGCGACCTGTATACAGTCCATGCTGTGTGAACCAAGTTCAACGCGAAAGCTTAGGATCCCGAACCGCGTATCGAAAGAGCCACGGATCGTTGGGAATTTGTTTGTAATAGATGACAGTCTGAAAAATAGCAATTCCATAGCTAAGGTGTAGTGTGAGCATCGACGCGAATCCTCTAGGAAATATCACGTACACTGCAGCTACGGTGGCACCGATGTAAATTGCGCCGAGTGTCACTCCCATGAGCGAGGGAACATCAGCCAGCCGTATCGGAGTGACCGGCGATGTCATTTTGGGAGCCGGTTTTTGAGGGAGTATCGCGTTGCTTATGTACGAGCACATAGTATCCGGCATTTGGGAACAACATTCGATGAAGGCCTGCATCGAACTAATTCCAATTGACCCCGTCAAATAGGGCAAAGTTTCGAATTCATGCCCCGACATGGCAATGAAGCAAGCGGGACCGATATCCACGAAACCATAATCTATGTTGAGTGTGTTTTTTTTGGGTGAGCGATGCTGGTGAATAAGCGCAGGTGGTCATTAAGAGTATTTTTCGTCTATCGTATTAATGATCAACGTTGCTCCACGGTGCAAAGATGTGAAAAGGTCACCATTGGGGTCAGACTCTAACCGATAGAGAGCATGTCCGTCGAGTGATCGCACAACTACAACAGACAAGTTTTGCTTTTGACAGTTCATTTCGGATAAGGATGCGACTAGGAGCCAGCATATCAGTCATGTCTGCAGACGTTGCGGTTCCGCTTGATCGTGTTAAGGTTGACATGGTGGTTAGGCTGCTTCCACGTTAGCCGTTCGCCAATATGCAAACAAGAAACGGCGTACCTCCAAAGCGTGATGAACCCATCAGGTCGAACCCGGGTTATAAACCCGATGTATGTGCACCATTCCAAAACATAATAGGCATCTCGGGAATACCGTACCGCTGCTGCCTTCGTTAACATGGGCCCCATGTCAGTAGATACACGCACTCAAAAAAGAACTTTTATTTCCAAAAACATGGACATCGCTCATGCGCTCACAAGCCTCCTCACGCCGTCCTTAGGTTGTCCAAACAGAGTACTGCGATAGAAAAATGTCCAGGAAGGGGCCATCGTTGGCGTACGATTCTTGTCGTCGTAAACAAGAAAGCAAATACAACGCCGAAGCCATATCCATTGGCTCGGACAACCTTCTGAGCTTGGTCTTAACGCCGTGTCATGTGGTGTATGCACCGTCCACATATTATCGAGTGTAAATAGGCGACCTCTTGACTGAGCTTGCTGAAGCGTTCTTCCCCGCCATAATGGATATGCAGGTTGCATGTGCGCTAGTAGCCGACACGAGCGAGCCGTTACTGCTGTCGTCGAGATTAGAACGCGCCTCTGATTTCAAGCAGAAAATAACGCACTCTGCTGCACCATGACCATTCTGGGGAAAGCACAGTCACGTATCTTCTATCATCGCTGCCGGAATATCGTTGCTGGTGAGCGGTGCCTGTGTCGAGAGCCTTCAAGATGATGGTGGACAGTGGCAATTTTTCTACAGCGCTTATAATAACCAAGGCCAGCTAATTCATTGAGAAACATGTCGTATTTGAAGAGAAAAGCGTCCAAGTTACACGACTGGCAGTGATGAAGGATATCATTGGGCAAGAACATGGTGAGTGCGAATGCTGCTTCTGAACTCAGGTGGCCTGCCCTCAAGTCCACGTGTTTGCTTAAGGGGTACCATGTATTTCCAGATAATAATATCACAAGAGAACGGCCAAAAGGTGCCTTTGACTGGGATTTTCTACGCTACGTCTGATGTGGATATTCTTCAGCTTCCTTCATTGACTCAGACTTACCAAACTATGATCACAACCCTATCTCAGTGTCCTCAGTGCGGGTTCGCGCCATCTGAAAAGCCCCTTCCCAATGGGATCTCCATCGCTCAACTGCAGGATTTTTTTGCCTGTAATGACGCTCCCGTATGTGCCGAACGTGCGGAACTAGAAGCCGTTATCCGTGAGGGAGAGCAGTATTTGGCCTTCCTCCAGCAACGCATATCACAAACCCAGAATACCCTCGACTCACTCTTGAAAGAGCAGAACCGAGCAGTCAAGCACATCGCTGACTCGAAATTGGTCTTGAATCCCGTCCATCGTTTACCTCCCGACATTTTGAGCCACATCTTTCTTTTATGTATCTTTCCGGACAGCGAGCCGTTACAGTCCAGTGATAGCGACGCGGATACTTCATTGCTGGACTCCCTCAGCATCACGAATTCTCCGTGGAACTTATCCTATGTCTCATCTCGATGGCGACAAGTTGCTTTAACCACACCTAGTCTCTGGTCATTCATCGGGCTCCAACTTCACAGATACCAGGGCCACACGCGTTCATTATTCCGTCTCGGAACATATTTGGGAAGGTCCGGTACACACCACCTCACTGTTGCTATCGAGAGTGATGAGGACACATTGGACCATCCCATTCTTCCCATAATTCTCTCCACCTCTCCCCGCTGGAAAGAACTCTTCATTAGTCTTCCCTTCTCTGCATTCCGCATTTTCAACAACATTTCCGGTTCACTGAGTTCCCTTACTTCACTTTGTGTGTTCCTACATGGTGAACCAGACACAGAATCCGAGCCGATAGCCATGATCGAAGCATTCCGTTTCGCACCGCAGTTACAAGAGTTAGAATTTGCAGAATGGAATTGGAGGATCCTCTTTCACAACCTATTTTATTTTCCATCAGAACAAATCACCAAAGTGGTGTCAGAGGGAAACAACATGCAGCCCCTCGCCCTCTTACAAAAAGTGCCAAATTTGGTGCATGGCACATTTTCGGCAGACATAGATTTCCTCTCAGATGCACCATCTGATGTGTGTTGGCACACTCATCTCCAGGTGCTGATCATAACCGAGAATGCTGAGAGATTCATAGCTGAGCTGTTTTCAAGACTCGCTTTGCCAGAGCTTCTCCAGTTACGGATGGAATTCAGTGATCCAGGAGAGGATAATAGTATTGTTTTGCCGGAATTCACTACAGAGACTGCACCAGTGTTGGAGTATCTGTGTATACAGATCAAAGATTCAATGACTCTTGACAGTCAAACATTGACACACCTATTGAAGCACACCCCATTACTGAGGAACCTGAAACTCAGTGGCAAGGTGATGACCAATGATGTCTTTCTCCAGCTTGGAAGGAAGACAGAGTTTTCATGGTTGGTCCCTCAGCTATGCAGGATAGACTTGAGAGGGTCAACATTTGAATTTGAGGATGCCAACAGTATCATTGTTGGAATGGTTGCATTTTGAAGTGAAGCTGTTGAGGGTGGCACAACCTTGCAGACACTCATTCTGGATGAGCCATTTTGTTTTGAGGATGATGATCTTTCTGCAAGATGGCACACACTCTGCCAAGAGAGTCTAGATGTTCAGTATGGTGGATGAAAGGTGTTGTGGAAGTTTTTATTGCATTTTCTGATAGAATGAATTGTTAGTTCTGAGCAATGTGTGGATAAGCATGTTGCTGTGACACTTGTGATATTCAATTATGGTCTCCATGATCTTCTTTGTATTTGCAGCTGTTTATGTATAAATAGCTGTCAGTTGCTCTCATCTGTTAACTATAACAGTTGAGGTGAGCATTATGCAAAACTATTATGTACTTGTACTTACTGTGTCTCATAACTTACTTTGATTGTATCTAGTCATTCTTATACCAAAATTCTATCAGGTCTTAAGCTTTGTCCTTACCTGAACTTAAAGTGATCAATATTATTCTATATCTTATTGCTCTTTATGCAATGTCTACTGTTACAAGCATATCAACTGATTCTACCAACCTTTCTGCCTCTGTGCTATGGCTTGAGACAAATGGAGTAAATTAGCTTATCTTTGCTACTCACTTTGAAATAGCTGTGGCAGCTAAAAATAAGATCAGATCACTTTATTAGCACCACTCTCCATTCAAGGTATAATATATGTTCTATTACTGAGGACCAAGTTGCTGAAATTTATCAATAGGACAAGAACAAAGTCATCTCTCAATTCCTGTTGTCTCAGTGTATTCATAATGGTTTTTTATATTTAGTTCATCATGCAATTGCTATCACCAAACAGTGAGTAGAAATTATGAAGTATTACATGGAGAAAAGAGCATATCAGCAAATATAGTAGAATCAGCAAAGGCTAGCAAGAGAGTTATAGCATCCATAGTCACTTTAATAATGATAATAACATTACTGTCCACTTTCATTCTCTGTCACAAGCAGGATATTAATTCTGACCTTCTGAAAAACATGATTTCAGAAGAGTATGATTATCAGTAACACTCAAAGAAAAGTCACCATCTGCAGAATGGTGAAAAAGAGAGAAAAGTACAAGATGATGATAAAGTGTTAGCAGCTGTACCTGGCAAGATTAATGGCAAGTCCTAGAGGCATTATTCAAATCATGGTTGCTTCAATTGTAGAAGTTACAATTGTTAGAGGAAGGACTGCCCCAAGCCTCTGAAATAAGGCTCAATTGATAGCAAGAAAAGCAGTGACAAGACACCAAATACTACTAATGCTGTCATAGGCCTTGACAGTGATTCAGAAGTGGAGTGTGCATTTGTTGCTTAGAGTGATAAAGATGATAAAGAACTGATTTGGGCCTCAGACATTGATGCTGATTCTATATCAGCTGATGATGCTTCAAATCTATCACTCTACTCACTGACTGATTCATTGAATACTAGCAGTGACTTAAAATCTCATTCTTTTATATCTGCACTGAAAAAGATTCTAATACTAAAGATGGTGAAGACTGGTTTTCTGATTTAGAAGGCCAAGTTAGTCCATGAGGTTGCAGTTGAAACTCTGATGAGTTGGTCAACAGTGATATAGATCTTGACATTAATCAAGAAGATGATAACAAAAGTGGGACACTGTATCTATCACATCTGAATCAGCTGCAGCAGTGTATCAGCCCATGACAGACTTACCTTGTAGCAAGTTATATAACTCTGACATCACCAAAGATCTTTCACCATACTGTGATGTATTTAAAAACTTTATTGAAACTCCTCTTAGAAAGTTTATGGCAGTGAACATGCAGCATTTTATTGTGCAGGGTATTGGAGATATTGTATTTGAAGTCCTAAATAAGAAAGACATATTAAAGCTTCAGCTCACCAAGATCTTGTATTCTCCAGAAGTCAGCTATACTTTGATTTCAATAGGCCAATTTGACAATTTAGATTGTATCTTTACCTTCAAAGATAATGCATATATACTTGATGGGCCAAATGGAAACTGAATTGAGATTGTCTCAAAGACCAAAGATGGTTTATATTGAGTTGTCCATTCACCAAATCAAGATGTAACAGCCAATGCAGTTGAAGAAACCATTTCTTTAATGGACTTTCATCATTGCATAGATCATATTGCTCCAGAAGTAGTCTGCCATCTAGTTGAGAAGGAATTCATCATTGGAGTGAAGCTAAACATGAATGAAGAAGAACCTACCTTCTGTGAGTCATGAATTTATGCCAAAGCTACTTATAAACCTTGCAGAAAGGTATCAGAGAGCAGAGAGCTGTAAAAGTAGATGGTGAGATTCATTTGGATATATGAGGACCAGCACCAGTTGCTATGCTTCAAGGTTGTTATTATTATATCATCTTTATTAATAACAAGATGAGATACACCAACATTTGCTTCTTGCATTGCAAATATGAGGTCTTCAAAGCTTATATCAATTTTTATATCTGGCTTTGCACCTAATATGATAAATCTATGAAAATTTTACATTCAGATCAAGAGAGTGAACATCAAAGCAAAGAATTCATACTATATCTCAAGGAAGCTGGCACAGACCAGAAGTTGATGGTACATGATTCTTCTTGGCAAAATAGTGTGGCTGAACATTATAACAGAATCCTGATGGAGTGAGTTTCAGCACTCTTACATGCTAGTGAACTATCTTGAGTCTTATAGGCAAAAGCTGCTTATCTGGTTGATGAATAGGATGATGATGAAAGCTTTGAATAATAGCACACTATATGAAGCTTTAATGAGCAAGAAACCAAACCTTCACAATGTGCATAAGCAAGGCTCTAACATATAGGTTCAGACTGAAGAAAGAGCAAAACTAAATGAAAATCAGATTTGCAAGATGAAATATATGGGTGTAGATGACCAAAACCAAGGCTTCCATATCTACTGGCCAAATTCTCATATGATCACCACTAAATAGAATATATACCATAACTAAAGTGATCTATCAGCACAAGATCTCAAGAGAGAGGACTTGGACATTCAAGTTAAGACTCCTGAAAATAGGATACACCTTGATGCTATTTATGTAGTTCCAACTATGCCTACAATAACCTCACAACAATCTCCAGTTACCCCTGTATCTTTCTCACTCCTATCTGAATCTATATCTCATGAAAAATGAGTGCATTTATGATATTATCAAAGATCATAGCATTGCATCTAGTTGTCTATCAGACCTATGTTTCACAAAGAGAATTCAACTGCCACCAGAAAATGTTGCCAAAAGTACACCCACTATCCCATCTGAAGAATTCAAGGATGCAGAGAGTCTGAAACTTGAAGGAGAAGGTCAGGCAGACTGGATGATGGGTATTGATGAAGAAGAATATGCACTGGCAGCCATAGTAAGCAAGATAGAGGGATTGGACCCACATGGTTTGGCTGATGCATGGAGCCATTCTGATTGGCCTCAATGAGAAGCTGGAATAACTGAGGAACCCACAAGTCTGAATAATGCTGATATCTGAGAACTCATTGAATTACTTTCTGGAGAAAATGTTGTAGACTCAAATGGGTCTTCCATGATAAAAAGGATGAATCAGGTCATATTATTTAATATAAAGCCTGACTCATTGTCTATGAGTTTTCTTAAATTTCAAATGTTGGCTATTTTCTAAGTGATTTATTCACATCTGTCATCTGATTAGCTTCTATCTGACTTGCCTTAGCTTGTCTCTGCAAGTGGCATATTTGTAAGTTAGTGTCCAAGAGGAAGAATGGACAATCTCTTACTATACAAAGTGCCTTTGATGGCAAATTTTTTCTGGACACCATTTCAAGTCACAATCAAGAGAAGCTTCATCATTCCAGAGGGACTCTCACTGTCTATATATAAGAACTGGGATATGTAACTGCTTGAGATCATCTTTCTCTTGCCCACACAAAGAATTCACTCTTCAACATGAACTCTTATAGCTAAGTTCACTGTTATCCAGTGACTTATGGCTATGACTGCAATGGGAACTGTTAGACCCAAGTGACACATGATCAATAACATATGGTAAATAAGCACTGTATCACATCCATACAATCATGCTTAAGTCCACTTTAGTGTGTTTAGAGATATTATGTCTCAAGATCAATGCTAGTTGACTTAAGTAAAATGGTAGAATAAAGGATAGTTTAAGATTAGAGTTACATGATGTTAGCTATGCTACTTATATACCATTCATCTCCTAGGTAAATATAGCACTACTAATTGTGAGTGTCTATCCTATAGTACTTGTTGTCTTAGGATGCTATAGTTATCTATAAAAGAGAGATTGTCCTATTGTTAGGGTGTCACTATGTGTTGTAAAGCAATAGTTAATGTGCTGACTAAGACCATCTCATAGTTTAAGTGCTAATCTAGACACTCTGACTAAGCATGAATAGGGGTAAAAGAGAAAAATAAAAGATGAAAAATCATAACATTACTTTCTTCTTAAGACCATCATCCTGATGACTTAATTTAGGGATAGTTCATATTTATGTATAGCAGCATCAGTGTTCATCTGCTTCTTATTGATCCACTGGTTTGATTCAGACCCATATCCCTTCCAGCTGATAAGATAATCTATAGTTGTCATCATTCTGCTGCCTCATGCTTTGACTTTTCATATTTTGTGGTTGAGGATTTGATCAATCTTGTAGTGTTCCTCATCATCAATGAGTTCTGGAGGAGATAGAGATGGTTGTTCTTGGTTGGAGAAGGGAGGGATGACATATAGCATTAGGAGAGTTTTGTTGAAAACATTGTGAATGCACTATGTGATGGGTAGTCAGAGTTTATACACTGAGACCTCAACTTTTGCTAGAATAGGAAATAGGCTCATTCATCTGTCAGCCAGTTTCTTCTTTGGGCACAGTAAGTGTAGATTTGTTGTGTCAAGCCATACTTTATCATTGATGGCATAGGAGTGTGGGGAGTGGCAATGTTTATTGTATTGTAGTTTCATAGTGGCAGCAGCCTTTTCCAAGGTGATCTGGATTTTAAGGTGGATTTTCATTATTTCAGTGGCAAAATCAATGGAGGCAGGTGTGGATGTGTGTAATTTTGTAGTGACAGCGATTTTGGAATGTTGATCATAGTTGATGAAGAAGAGAGTCTTTTCCATTGCTGAGTGAACCTGATTGTTATGCTGAAAGCTCACCAGTGTGAGCCACTCTGTTCAGTCATTCTGTCAATAGTTAATAAACATGCAGAGATACTTCTTGATCTCCTGGTTGACATGTTCTATC